ACACATGGCCGTTACTACACACATGGCCGTTACTACACACATGGACGTTACTACACACATGGCCGTTACTACACACACATGGCCGTTACTACACACATGGACGTTACTACACACACATAGACGTTACTACACACACATATACGTTACTACACACACACACATGGACGTTACTACACACACACATGGACGTTACTACACACACACATGGCCGTTACTACACACAAATGGCCGTTACTACACACACACATGGCCGTTACTACACACACACATGGATGTTACTACACACACATGAACGTTACTACACACACACATGGCCGTTACTACACACACACATGGCCGTTACTACACACACACATGGATGTTACTACACACACATGAACGTTACTACACACACACATGAACGTTTCTACACACACATATACGTTACTACACACACACATGGACGTTACTACACATACACATGGCCGTTACTACACACACACATGGATGTTACTACACACACATGAACGTTACTACACACACACATGGACGTTACTACAAACACATGGACGTTACTACACAGACACATGGACGTTACACACACACACATGGACGTTACACACACGCACATCGGCAGCAACACACACACATTGACGTTACTACACACACATGAACGTTACTACACACACATGGCCGTTACTACACACACACACATGGCCGTTACTACACACACATGGACGTTTCACACACACACATGGACGTTACTACACACTTATGGACGTTACACACACACACATGGATGTTACTACACACACATGGACGTTACACACACATGGGCAGCAACACACACACATGGGCAGCAACACACACATGGGTAGGAACCCACACATGGGCAGGGACACACACATGACTGGCTGACATCATAACATTATTGACACAAACAGAGCTCTGACACAAACACAACTCTGATACAAACACAACACTGACACAAACACAGGTCTAACACAAACACAGGTCTAACACAAACACAGCACTGACACAAACACAGCACTGACACAAACACAGCACTAACACAAACTTAACTCTGACACAAACTCAGCACTGACACAAACACAGCACTGACACAATCACAGCACTGACACAAACACAACACTGAAACAAACACAGCACTGACACAAACACAGCTCTGACACAAACACCTCACTGACACAATCACAGCACTGACACAAACACAGGTTTAACACAAACAAAACACTGACACAATCACAGCACTGACACAAACACAACACTGACACAAACACAGCACTGACACAAACACAACACTAACACAAACTTAACCCTGACACAAACACAGCACTGACACAAACACAGCTCTGACACACAAACACAGCTCTGACACAAACACAGCACTGACACAAACTTAGCGCTGACACAAACTCAGCCCTGACACAAACACAGCACTGACACAAACTTAGCTCTGACACCAACTCAGCTCTGACACAAACACAGCACTGACACAATCACAGCACTGACACAAACTTAGCTCTGACACAAACACAGCTCTGACACAAACACAGCACTGACACAAACACAGCACTGACATAAACACAGCATTGACACAAACACAGCATTGACACAAACACAGCACTGACACAAACACAACACTGACACAAACACAGCTCTGACACAAACACAGCACTGACACAAACACAGCCCTGACACAAACACAGCTCTGACACAAACACAGCTCTGACACAAACACAGCACTGACACAAACACAGCACTGACACAAACACAGCACTAACACAAACCTAACTCTGACACAAACTCAGCACTGACACAAACACAGCACTGACACAATCACAGCACTGACACAAACACAACACTGAAACAAACACAGCTCTGACACAAACACAACACTGACACAAACACAGCACTGACACAAACACAACACTGACACAAACACAGCACTGACACAAACACAACACTAACACAAACTTAACCCTGACACAAACACAGCACTGACACAAACACAGCTCTGACACACAAACACAGCTCTGACACAAACACAGCACTGACACAAACTTAGCTCTGACACAAACTCAGCCCTGACACAAACACAGCACTGACACAAACTTAGCTCTGACACCAACTCAGCTCTGACACAAACACAGCACTGACACAATCACAGCACAGACACAAACTTAGCCCTGACACAAACACAGCTCTGACACAAACACAGCGCTGACACATACACAGCTCTGACACAAACACAGCACTGACACAAACACAGCACTGACACAAACACAGCATTGACACAAACACAGCACTGACACAAACACAGCCCTGACACAAACACAGCTCTGACACAAACACAGCTCTGACACAAACACAGCCCTGACACAAACACAGCTCTGACACAAACACAGCACTGACACAAACACAGCTCTGACACAAACTCAGCCCTGACACAAACACAGCTCTGACACAAACACAGCCCTGACACAAACACAGCTCTGACACAAACACAGCTCTGACACAAACACAGCCCTGACACAAACACAGCCCTGACACAAACACAGCTCTGACACAAACACAGCTCTGACACAAACACAGCCCTGACACAAACATAGCTCTGACACAAACACAGCTTTGATACAAACACAGCACTGACACAAACACAACACTGACACAATAACAACTCTGACACAAACACAACACTGACACAAACACAACACTGACACAAACACAACACTGACACAAACACAACACTGACACAAACACAACACTGACACAATCACAACTCTCACACAAACATAACATTGACACAAACACAATACCGACACAAACAACGCTGACTCAAGACTGACATAAACACAATACTAACAGACACAAAACACTGACTCAATAACAACTCTCACACAAACATAACATTGACACAAACACAGCACTGACACAAATACAGCACTGACACAAACACAGCACTGACACAAACACAGCACTGACACAATAACAACTCTCACACAAACATAACATTGACACAAACACAGCACTGACACAAACACAGCACTGACACAAACACAGCACTGACACAAACACAGCACTGACACAATAACAACTCTCACACAAACATAACATTGACACAAACACAATACCGACACAAACAACGCTGATTCAAGACTGACATAAACACAATACTAACAGAATCACAACACTGACTCAACAACAACTCTCACACAAACATAACATTGACACAAACACAGCACTGACACAAACACAACACTGACACAAAAACAACTCTCACACAAACATAACATTGACACAAACACAGCAGTGACACAAACACAACACTGACACAAACACAACTCTGACACAATAACAACTCTCACACAAACATAACATTGACACAAACACAGCACTGACACAAACACAGCACTGACACAAACACAGCACTGACACAAACACAACACTGACACAAACACAACACCGACACAAACATAACGCTGACTCAACACTGACATAAACACAATACTAACAGAAACACAACACTGACACAAACACAGCTCTGACACAAACACAGCCCTGACACAAACACAGCCCTGACACAAACACAGCTCTGACACAAACACAGCTCTGACACAAACACAGCCCTGACACAAACACAGCACTGACACAAACACAGCTCTGACACAAACACAGCCCTGACACAAACACAGCCCTGACACAAACACAGCTCTGACACAAACACAGCTCTGACACAAACACAGCCCTGACACAAACACAGCGCTGACACAAACACAGCTTTGATACAAACACAGCTCTGACACAAACACAGCTCTGACACAAACACAACCCTGACACAATAACAACTCTGACACAAACACAACACTGACACAAACACAACACTGACACAAACACAACACTGACACAATCACAACTCTCACACAAACATAACATTGACACAAACACAATACCGACACAAACAACGCTGACTCAAGACTGACATAAACACAATACTAACAGACACACAACACTGACTCAATAACAACTCTCACACAAACATAACATTGACACAAACACAACACTGACACAAATACAGCACTGACACAATAACAACTCTCACACAAACATAACATTGACACAAACACAGCACTGACACAAACACAGCACTGACACAAACACAGCACTGACACAAACACAGCACTGACACAATAACAACTCTCACACAAACATAACATTGACACAAACACAGCACTGACACAAACACAACACTGACACAATAACAACTCTCACACAAACATAACATTGACACAAACACAGCACTGACACAAACACAGCACTGACACAAACACAGCAATGACACAATAACAACTCTCACACAAACATAACATTGACACAAACACAGCACTGACACAAACACAGCACTGACACAAACACAGCACTGACACAAACACAGCACTGACACAAACACAACACCGACACAAACATAACGCTGACTCAACACTGACATAAACACAATACTAACAGAAACACAACACTGACTCAATACAACACTAATACCAACACAACACAGACACAGGATTAGGAGGAAAGCCGAGACGTTGTTTGAAAATGACATTGCTACAAAAGCTGAGGAACAAGGAAAGCTGTTCCATTGACAGATAAGGAGAATAATGACAGTGAGAAATCATTAACTCAGATTGAGAAATTAATGGATGGTCTCACAGAGGCATAAGGAGGCATGTGAGGAACTCGATGAAAGATTTCAAGAAATCTTTACAGTAGAACCAGCGTGAAGACCAAGGATGCATGATGAATGGTCAGAATAAATATTGCATGGTATTATATTCACAGTGGAAAAAGTTAAAAAAAAATCCGGCAGGACCCATATGTGACAAAATCAATGTGGTCAAACCTAACCTCATCATGGCTGCTGAAGTACTCTGTCAACCGTTGACTAAAATGGGAATAAAAGGATTTGAGACGGGAAGTCTCCCAGATGTCTGGAAAAAAGGTAAACATAGTCACAATAGTATCTTGAGAGGATCAGCTTTCGTAAAAAAAAAAATAGAATGGATGTCGAATTAGAAAGTTTTCCCCTGACAAACTTGATTGAGTTTTATGACAAGGTTACTAAAAAAAAAAAAAAGGCTGTAAAATGACTTTTTCTTGACTGTTAAAAGGAATTTGATACTAGTTCCCCGAGAAAAACTGTTGTACAAAATGGTGAACCAGGCTAGGATAACTGGGAAAATACTGAATTATGTAAGAGGCCGTGAAATGTAAAATATACGTCAAAAATCTAAAAAAAAATGAAACATGTTAAACAAATCTCTTGGCATATGGCATCAGAGTCGTGAAAAGTTCATTCCAATATGTTAAAACATCGATTTTATACGATTATGTTGATTAATCAATCCGGGTGCAGCTCGTTGCAACCCATACTGGTGTCAATGGGTGCAGTGTGCCTCCATGGTCTCACCTAATTGCTTTCTAACAATCGGATTTTATGCAAACTGATCGGAAAAATACACAGTGGCAACTTTTCATAGTCGACCATGACCATAGCCTGGCTCACTACCTCAGTGACTGCGTGTCTTTCATAGAGAGTGGGAGGGTTGTGATGGGCTGTTGCGTCTTGATGTGTATCCCGCGGTTTATTTTCCCTTTCAACGTTTGTATTCACGATGCCCTTCCTGTCGAAGAAAGCTAAATAGAAGAGAGAATGAATGTTACATGCAATACGAATACGAGAAAGTATTCATACTGCATGCAACATACCGCCTCAGTGCCCCTAATTCCTCACTCCACCTCCCACTTGTCACTACAACACAGTCTTACACTCCCACTTGATTGATATTGTGGACGAGAATGTGCCGGCCGTTCAAGTAACAATGGGTCAACATCTAAAATGATCACACTCCAGGAACGCTGGTGAGGTCACTATTCAGAAGTCCAGGCAGCAGCAGTAGCAATCCAGGCAGCAGCAGCAGTCCAGGCAGCAGCAGCAGTCCAGGCAGCAGCAGCATTCCAGGCAGCAGCAGCAGTCCAGGCAGCAGCTGCAGTCCAGGCAGCAGCAGCAATCCAGGCAGCAGCAGCAGTCCAGGCAGCAGCAGCAGTCCAGGCAGCAGCAGCAGTCCAGGCAGCAGCAGCAGTCCAGGCAGCAGCAGCAATCCAGGCAGCAGCAGCAGTTCAGGCAGCAGCAGCAGTCCAGGCAGCAGCAGCAGTCCAGGCAGCAGCAGCAGTCCAGGCAGCAACAGAAGCAGCAGCAGTAGCAGTCCGGGCAGCAGCAGTCCAGGCAGCACCAGCAGCAGCAGCCTTGTTAAAGTATCCCCAGTACAACACAATGAAACTATCAGAGGTGTATGGGGAAAAGAAGGTGTGATGTGAGTACACAGTGCCAGAACCGTGCCAAATGCAGGCGATGAGTCACAATAACGTGGCTAAAGTATGTTGACCAGACCACACACTAGAAGGTGAAGGTACTACGACGTTTCGATCCGTCCTGGACCATTCTCAAATCGGACCGAAACGTCGCCGTCCCTTCACCTTCTAGTGTGTGGTTTGGTCAACACCATGCCAATGTACTCGACTATCGAACGCCGACCCCGGATTATGCAAGATAACATAACGCCGTGGCATGATTGGTATTTTGTTATGTTAACGTTATGCTTGTCTTTACAAATATAAGCCTTTCATAATATGAATAAAGTACAAATTTAATCAATATATTGTTTAACAATTTTATCATACCCGGTTTCTCCGTGTTATATGATCGTTGTACTTAGTTACACTACGTTGATTGATGACGAGTGTGTCTTGTGTAATACTGAAAGGAAATATTTTGATCGATTGAAGTTTTAGATGTTATATTTTGCACTATTAATGTTCGTCCTTATATGTTCTCATAAATCTGCATTTAAGTCATTGCGTGATCCACGTGTATCATCAGGGTGCTGATGATACACGTGTATCATCAGGGTGCTGATGATACACGTGTCTGCTGGATGCTGGAGTGCTCGACTAATTGTGCTTGCAGGGAATTGAGCTTCGGCTGTTTGGGGCCGCCTCTCAACTGTCAATCAACTGGTGAACAGATTCCTGAGCCTACTGGGCTCTATCATATCTACATTTGAAACTGTGTATGGAGTCAGCCTCCACCACATCATTGCCTAATGTATTCCACCTGTTAACTACTCTGACACTAAAAAAAGTTATTTCTAATATCTTCTTGGCTCATTTGGGTACTCAGTTTCCACCTGTGCCTCCTAATGCGTGTGTTCCCCTTGTGTTAAATAAACTGTCTTTGTCTCCCCGGTCAGTTCCTCTGATAATCTTTTATGTCGTAATCATGTCTCCCTCTAACTCTTTTTATCTTCCATCGACGTGAGGTTTAGTTCCCGTAGTCTCTCCTTGTAACTCATACCCCTCAGCTTGGGTACTAGTCTGGTAGCCTACTTTTCAACTTTCTGAAATATAGTCATGTGCTTGACTAGATACGAACTCAATGGTGAAGCTGCATCCTCCAGGATTGATCTGACATAAGTGGTATACAAGATTCTGGTTGATTCTTTTCTAAAGTTTCTAAAGGCAATTCTTATAGTGGCCCACCTTGCCTTTGCCGTTGATGACACACTCTTGATGTGGGCTTCAGGGGGACAGGTCAGGTGTGATATCAACCCTCAGGTCTTTCTCTCTGATTCTTGAAGAAATTCATTTCTCAAATGGTGCCTTGAATCTGGCCTCCTGCTCCCTACACTTGTCTTCATTACTTTACATTTGGTTAGGTCAGACTCTAATAGTCATTTATTGGACAATTTCATCAGTTTGTCCAGGTCATCTTGTAGCTTCATGCTGTCCTCCTTTGTCTTAATCCATCTCATAATTTTGGCATCGTCAGCAAACATTAAGCGGAATCAGTTAATACCATCTGGATGACCATTTACGTATATAAAAAACAGGATATCTCCGAGTACAGAACCGTGTGGAACTCCGCTGGTGACATCACATCATTCGAAGGTCTCACCTCTCACAGTAGCTCTGCTTCCTATTGCTTAGGTACTCCCTTATCCAACTGAAACACCTTATCCACCAGTTACTCCTGCCTATTTCTCCAGTTTATACACCAGCCTCTTAAGGGACACTGTGTCAAAGGCTTTCTGACAGTCCAAGAAAATGCAGTCTGCACACCCGTCTTCTTGCTTAATCTTTGTCACCTTATCGAAGAATTCTGTAGGCCCGTGAGGGAAGATTTGCCATCCCTAAACCCATGTTGGTGGTTTGTCAACAAATCATTTCTCTCCAGATGCGCTACTAGGATTTTTCTAGGCCTTTTACTGTAATACATATGGTGACATTTATGGTGACTATTGTGAACATATACATATGTTGACAATGATGGTGACTTTATTATCTACAATGATACATATGTTGACAATGATGGTGACTTTATTATCTACAGTGATACATATGTTGACAATGATGGTGGCTTTATTATCTAGTAACACATATGATAACACTGATTGTGAATATATTGTCTGCAGTAACATACATATGCTGTCATCGATGGTTACAGTATTCAATATAGTGATGCATGTGCTGACATTGGTGGCTATGTATAAAGATGTATAAAGATACATGTTCTGACATTTATGTGACTTTTGTCATAATTCCAGTCCCTAGTCTGGGACTTCGCCGGTATGAGCGTTGATCCTGTTTGATAACCTTTGATTTAATTTCATTTGATCGTGCTGACACATTTTGTATGATGGAATTAGGTAGGATAA